AAACATTTTAAAAAAATAAATAAATAAACACGTCCGGTGGTTATCCTGAGATGGTTCAGCAACTCCTTCTGTAGCACACAAAATGCTTGTTTACACAGTGCGTCACAAGTGGGTGATATCGTTGTCAAGTGGCAACCGTTCTCTGAAACGTATGTTAGCGAAGTGTACATCCAACAAAGATTTGAATTTCTGCACAGATTCGGCCTCGACGACGTGTTCTGGCAGACTGTTCCAGGCGTGCACAACCCTCCGCTCGAAACACAGGGGGTGTGGGATTTTCTTCAGATCAGGTACCACGAGTTTGTACCTGTGCCCACGTGTGGTGCATGGTACTCGCAAGTGGAGTAACGACCTTAGCATGGGGAAATGACCTAGATGTAAAATACGGTAGGTCATGATAAGATCCACTCGAATACGTCGATATGACAAGGTGTAGAGCCCAGGTTTCATGCACCGGTTTTCATACGATAAGCCTCTCAAGCTGGGGATCAACTTGGTGGCGATGTGTTGTACTCGTTCGATCTTTTGCGCTTCGCCGCGAGTGATCGGACAGTAGGCAGGCGAGCCGTACTCTACCATTGGTCTGACGATGGAAGAGAAGAGGCGAGTGGCGACGTCCTCAGACCAAGTGCAGAAGCTGCGTTTCAGCGCCCAGAGCATGCGCAGTCCGTTTCGATACAGTTTGTTGGTGTTGTCGACGGACTTCAAGTCGCAGCGTGAGAGTACACCTAGGTATTTCACGGAAGGTGTGGGATGCAGTGGTTGGCCGTCTAGGGTGTACGTTCGTCCGTGAACAGCCTTCCCGAGACTCATGAATAGGGACTTGACCGGGTTGACCGGTAGGTGGACTTCAGCAGACCATACTGCGAGGCGGTCGAGGTCTTGTTGGAGAATGTCACAGTCATCGAGAGTATTAATTTCTCGCCAAATTTTGAGGTCATCCGCATACAGTGCACACGGCGACCGTAGAAGCTGGGGCAGCTCGTTGATGTGGATGAGAAACAGAGTGGGTCCCAGTACCGTACCTTGAGGTACACCACTGGTCAAGGGATACCAATCGGTTAGATGGCCGTCCACCTGTACCCTCCACTTTCTTCCAACGAGAAATTCATGGATCCATCGATGTAACGATCCTCCGACACCACACGACCTTAATCTGTCTAGAAGCAATTCATGATTGACTTTGTCGAATGCTTTGCTGAAGTCGATGTAGATTACGTCGACGGACTTTCCCCGGTTCAGTGCTTGCAACCATTCCTGTCTCGTCACAAGTAAGTTTGTAACACAAGAATATCCCATCCTGAATCCGTGTTGTGCCGGTGTCAGAAGTTCTTTCGATTGTAACAGATGTATTAGACGCTTTTTTACTATCTTCTCGATCACTTTGGCCAAAACGGGTGTAAGACAAATTGGCCTGTAGTTATCCACCTTACTGGGGTCGCCACCTTTCGGGATCGGCCTCACCACCGAGCGCTTCCAGTCGTTTGGCAATGAGCCCTCAGACAATGATTTGTTGAATAGATCCGTAACCACAGGCGAGATAATGGCAGCTAGTGATTTGATAATTAGCGGATGAAGCCCGTCAGGCCCTGCAGGCTTGGTACCGTCAAGGTTCGCAAGTAGCAGGCGCACCTCGTCGACATCACAAACCAAACTGTTGAGTTCTACAGGAATGTTACTCGCTGAGATGGGTACGGACGCCGCGTCGTTTGCAAACACGGAAGCGAAGTGAGCGGCCAGTGCGGACGCGCGATCGGAACTGGAAGTTAGCAGGTGTCCGTCCGCGTCTTCCAGACATGACACGTCACCTTTTGGCTTCAAACGGCGTTTCACGTAAGCAAAGATCTTCTTTGGGGCCATCCTCGCGTCAGTTGCAAGCATTTCTTCGAACTTCCGGCGCTTTATCAATTTCACTTTGTTGCAAATATTTCGCTGTCTTTTATATGCTTCGTAATCAGTGGCGGAGCCAGAGAGGCGAAATGCGTCCCACATTCTTCGCCGTAACCGAGCCAGCCTACCATATTCCTTGTCGAACCAGTGTGGTTTGATTGGCCCGACTTTCTGAAATTTCAACGGCACAAACTGAGAACAAAGCAAAGCCAATCCTTCCTTTATTACTGTCCAACCGTCCTCCACAGATGTAACATGCGGTAGAGACCAATCTATTTGGCTCGCTGCTCGATTTAATCCATCGAAATCAGTTTTCCAGTAGTTGTAAGCTGGTTCCACCGGAGATACACTCGGCAAGTTCAGTTCCATAGTGGCTATCAGCACGGAATGGTCGCTTTTAGCTAGGGGCTCCTGGATTCGTATGTCATGCAACCGCTGTTCGCAATTTGTCACCATCAAATCAAGGCACGATGGGTTCGAACGCGCCGTCATGCGCGTAGGTTGGTATATGTGTTGCGATGCCCCAGTTTCAAGCAACAAATCAACAAACTTTGATTCGACTTCAGAATACCCGGGCATGAGTTGGATTTCAGGCCATTGAATGTGGGGACAATTGAAGTCACCCATGAGTAGAAAACATGGACGACTCATGTTGTCCCGAAGATGCGGTAGCCAATCAAAAGAGCGGTTCAGAGGGCTACGGTAGAATGCACCTACTGTCAGCTTGCCGAGCCTGAGGTTGATCGAGCACCATACCTGTTCACACAGTCCATCTTCACTTCGGTACACGCTTACAAGCCTCCCACGCAGGGAAGACCGTATATAAAGTAAGACACCACCACGAGGATTTGATATTCTATCGCAGCGAAAGCATGAGTAGCCACTGAGATCGACTTCCTCTGCCATTACCTCAGAAGTTAGCCATGTCTCCGCCAGTCCTACGACGTCTGGTCGCTCAGAGGCAACGAAGCGACACAGCTCATCCCGTTTGTTCATAAGGCTACAGATGTTTGTGAATGCAACACGGAGGTCCTGAGAGGCACCGCGGGACGTGCCTTGAGGTTGATCAACCGACTGATACGGGTTCGTGCACCCTTCTTGATCACTCGAAAATTTACGATGTGCAGATCAGTTTCGCCTTCTTCTGTACGGCGTTTAAGCTCAAGGATCGCAGTCTTCAAGCGGTTCCTCTCTTCGGGTTCCAAGTCTCGGCGGATGTGAACCCTGGTGCCTTTAAGCCTGGAGAGACGAGACAGAATGAGTTGTGGCGTGCTGTGGTCAGCAAAGGTGATTCTTAAAGGTCGACATGATTGGTTAGTATGCTGACCAAGTCGGACTACTTGTTTTATCGTTACGCTGCCTTCACCCACATCCAACAGTTTATCAACGAGCCCCTGAAGGAACTCAACATCGTGATCATAACGTTTCTGAGGGTTTTCATCTTTTGACTCTGGTGCATGGAACACCATGAGATTATAACGCCTCAGGGAGATCGGTGACGAACTTGAGGCAGCAGGAGTGGAGGGGCTTGTGGTTTTGGACGGTCGTCTGTCGTTAGGGAGAGGTTGAAAGTTGTTGCGTGAACTTTTGCATTTTTGAATGATCCATTTATCTTCAGTGTTCAGAGGTTCACAGGTATGCGCTGAAAGATTAGGGGGCTCCGACTCTGAGTCGTCAATCTGTGGGGAACATTGGTTGTGAGAATCGGTAGGGGTAGAAGACGCTGGCGGTGGTGCAGATCGTGGAGTTGCAGGGGAAGGGGAGTTCACAGAGGTACTCTCACGAGCGCGTTTGACCCCACGAGCTGAATGAAGTGGTTTCGTCTGGGAGATGGCTTTTCCCGGAGCCGGTAGTGATGGTCTCCGTGTATTTTGTTGTAGTAAACCGCGGCATTTATCACACACAACTTGGAAAAATCTATGTCGGATGTCAACAGATTTTCGGAAAACTTCCACGGATAGGCCGATACACGAAATATGAAACAGAACATCACAGCCGAAACAACGAAGTGCATGGGCCTTTTGTCCTACAACTTTCGAACATGAGCCACAAGTAGATTGGCACGGCATCACACGTTGGAGCAAATCCAAGATGGCGGACACAGACGGTAATTTGATTTATCAACAAGTTCTCCGAAACAAGTGAGAGAATGCTCACCAAATTTTCACAACTTGAAGACTACACCAAAAAGAAACTTTTTGGTACACAATTTACACAGATGAAACACAAATAACACAGTAATCCAGAAGCGAAAGTAGAATCCAGAAGCAATGCTCAAAAATCCGCGGCGTTCGTGGGTACAATGATAAAGCGTAAAACTCATGTGATTGAAAAGCGCTGTAGGATATTTCGAGTAAAAGTTAAAATGTAAATGATATTCGAATAATTACTAATAAGTGATACTGCATAACGACAGTTTGAAGTGGGAGCCGGTTGTGCGTACACAAAATAGTATAGACAGCTTCTATGGTTCTAAGTGCGTGAGAAATGAGAAAGGTAACGACAACACTCACCCGTGTGTTACTTCATTTGACAGATGTGGTATGTTAATCCAGTTTAGCTGCATCCAGGCTAATCACAAGGACACTTCTGTATGTAGCCTTACTGCCAGGTCTCGGAGAGGACTGTTATACACATGGATAGGTTTGTGTTCATTCGTCCTCCAAGTAGAACGGACTAGATCAAATAATGTAAGTTTGAAAGCTTTTCATAAAAGGCCTTTTGTGAAAAGCGTTAATTTAGAGCAAGGATAAAGTGAGTCGAAAGCGCATTCTAGGCACGGAATACACGGAGTAAGAAAACGCTTTGTCGACAATTAAGTCGATTGTAGTGCGCAACCAGCGTGAGCTGATGGTCTCTCAGTTTGATAACTTGGCTCAGCTGCAAAAGACTGCGACAAGGGTGAGTTGGATTCGTCAGTATGAAGTAAACCATGAGTAGATCTCCTCCCTGACGTCGATATTCAACACTGTACAATCTCATTGACTGCAATCTGCTTTGGTAGGACAGGTGAAGCAATCCTCTAAAGAGTTTGATCGTTCTATGTTGTGGAGCTTCAAGTGCATCAACGTCGGGCTTGCGCCAGGGACGCCAAGCCTCGATCGCATACTCCACGTGAGACCTCAAGTAGGCGTTCAACATATGCGGAAACGTTGATGGCTCAAAATTGCCGACAGCCCTCCGTAAGAGTACGAAATATTGACTGCCTCTTTCTGATGTCTTCTCAGCCTGTCTCAAGGAATCAATTTCGTCCCGCACGATCACCCCAAGGTCGTTTTCTTGGGAAGCACGTCGTAACTGCTAGTCCCCATGTCGATATTCATAGCTAAGTTGAGGGCGTATGCTCACGAGTTTGCACTTGGTCACGTTGAACTGGAGCCGGTTGTGATATGACCACGATTTATTCATTGTCACCCTGGTAGATACGGTCAACTTTATTTAGGAGCTGTCTGCAACAGCCTTCAAGAAACTATGTGATTGTAAATCACGAACGCCACTTGCCCTTCTAAACAAGAAACTAGTAGGTGGTGTTAGATTATACTGTAGGCCAATCCGTGCAAATAATGTTCTTTTACTGGTTATAGACCCTCTTCTTATGTGGAATCGGACAAAGGTCCCTTAGCATAGTTTACAAATATTTTATTTTATGCCACCAAATATACAACCATGCAGCTGATTTACTTCCATTTTCTCTTAACAGCAAACTCTGGTTATCTGAAACTCCCAAACATTGCAGCTAATCGCAAAATCAAAACGTTAGTTCCGGTGCCGCACCGTCGTTCTAAGAACTAGGAGAATAAAGCATGGTTTATGGAAAGTAAATGCAAATTGACGGCACGTTGCAGTTTTGATGCAGCGGACGAAAATTGGTTAGATCACAATTTCAATGCTGACAAAATCTTCAAACAATTTATTATAAGATGTTGAGCTTTGTTTAATTGGCAACACGCCGCACTGGTTTTGGGTTGACCGAACTAAGAAAAGGTTCACTGCCAGGTGTTCACGAAGCTAACAGCAATTGGACAGATTTAGAAAAGATTAACCGGTTGAAATCCAGTGTGATTTAATTTGTGGCTTTCTATTAACCGCTGCTGTTCCGGCCGCAGTTTACAAAGCTGTCATGAAAGTTATTTCTCTTTTTAATCTTAACATTAAATGCACAAATCTTGGCTCAGGATTAACCTTTTACTCATAAAATCCATTTGAATTGATACAATTATGTTAACCGGACACACGTTTACTTATTCCGGATGAATGAAAAGTCAATGTTCAGGTAGTTATGGAACCGTAGCAGACTGTGTCAGCATCGACTTGGGTTTTAAAACATTATCGTAGTATCTTATCTAGGAGCTTGCAAAATTGTAATTCCTTAAACTAGATGTCAGGGGAGAGTATGGCACTTGACGCAAAGGTTAACAGCCTAGTTCATGCGGTGTTTGTGGGATAGTTTTTGCGACGTGCGACCGGGCGTTGTCATGGCAAAGGGTTGGCCCATTTCTGTTGCCAGTGTCGGGCATGTGCATTGTAATTTTCGGTGCATCTCGACAATTTGTTGACAATATCTCCAGTGTAAAAGTTTCGCTTTGATTCTGGACGCTGTGGTGGATCAGACCACCGGCAGATGACCAGTCATCATAATATTTTGGGTGCAAATTCGGATTCCGAAAGTTTTGTGGAGCGCAGAAGACGGGCCGAGGAGACTTCAAAATAACAATTTCTTTCATTTCCATTCAATTCGTGGGGCACCCAATTATCAAGATATTTTAACATTCCAATAATCCTTACATATTTCAGTGCTGTCACAAGCGAGATTTGTAAGTCAGTAGCAAAAAACTCGAATAATTCTACGCAGATCCACCTTAACTAAGGAATTTAATTGGTTGTTGTTCAAATCCAATGATTGTCCACAAAGCTGTTCAGCCTCAAACATTTTGTAACCTTTTCAAAATAGTAGAATTCACCATTGTTCATTACGATCATGATTGGTTCCAACATAAAATGCATGGTTGATGTAATAAGCTATTCCCCCTGCAATTCGATCAATATTAAGTCGGTATCATAAAATTGCGTGCATTTCTCTACTGTCGATTTTATGCTAAATGTTAAAGGTGGATCTAAGCTAAATTATCACCATAAGTAGATAAAGCACAAAACAGAATTCCAACGTTTTACAAGTTCAAAATATGCTATCGAAATTATTTAAATCCATTGATTTAAAATAAAAATATCATGAGTACATAAAATCCATATAAATAAACTAATGCAATTGTCGCGTAGTGCTGACCCTACTGCGCATATCATGAGATATAATATTAAAACCTTTGGCATAAATGCTAATTTAAACTAGTAAATGATCAGTGTTGAAATTTCTTAATAGTATAAATGTTTCAATGTAATTACTAGCGTTGCGAGTATACGCATTTTCCTGAGATATTTTGAGTACTGTATTTTGAGAAAATTGACACGCGCATGCTTTGAAATTAATTCTTGCCCTAACCCAATTCGATAACGTTACCTGCAACCGTACTTTAAGAGGTGCGCTCAAACCAC